AACTGCGATCACATTCACAGCTGAGAAGCACTGCTCTCAGGCTTAACTCCATGTACTTCAGTTTCCTTCTCTGTACAATGGGGATAATAACATAACCTATTTATGGGGCTGGTGTGGTGCGAGGATTAACTGAGATAATGCATGTGGAAGCACTGAGCACAGCTTACTAAGCGTTTGCTTTCAGAGCCTTCCTCCTCCTTCTCATTTTTATTATTAAATTTCAGAGCCCACGGTCATCCAACCTTCTTGCTCTGTGGGTGGGGAAACTGAGGAACAGTGTAGTAGGGTTTTGCCAAAGGAAGGGTGAAAGGACATGCTGAGGACTTTCTTTGGCAGATTCAGCCCGGTGCTGTTTACAGGATGCGCTAAGCAAGCCAAGCTGGCACTGCCACCCCACCTCTCACCTGTGGGGGCAGAAGGCTGAGGGTTTTCCCTGCCCACTCCCTATGCAGAGCCAAGCCCTGGGGAGCCAGAGCAGGGGTCCTGCCCTCTCCTCACACTCAAGTCCCCCATCTCCTGGAAGCTCCCCAGATTGAGCCCCATAATTGCCTTGCCTATCCCATGCTTTATGGGTGGGTGTGCATGTCTGTGTGTGCACATTTGACTGAGACTGTGTGTGTGTGTGTGTGTGTGTGTGTGTGTGTGTGTGTGTGTGTGTGTGCGCGCGCGCGCGACTCCAGGGCCAACTTTTCCCTTAGGCACAGCAGGCACGGTGCTAGGGCCCATGACAATTTTAAGGGCCCATAAAAATGTTTAATTTCTTTTAAAATAAGAAGAAAAAACTAAACTTCTAGGTAAAAGAAAATGTTTTAATATATAATGTTATTTGTTTTTATACCAATGCAGTCGTGAAATATAACTTTAAAGATGTCTTTATGGAGGGAGAAGCCCACGTAGGCAAAAGTGCCAGGTACCTGTGAAAGTTATAATGTGATTTGTGTGTCTCTGCTTCCACCGTGTCTCTAGAAGGGTCAATGTCTATCTGCAAAGATCAGGGTGGCTTTGTTTTGATAACAGAATAAGCCCTTGCAGTGTGCCAGGCGTGTTCCAGGAGCTTTACTCACATAATCCTCCCACCAGCCCCATGAGCTGGGCACTATTCTGTCTTCATTCCCAGATGAGAAAACTGATACTCCAGACATCACTAGCTCAAGTTCACCCAGCCACTAACTGGTGGAGCCAGAATGTAAGCCCAGGCTTCTTAGATCCTAGGGAGTAAATGCCCAGTGTCTGCATGTGTGTGGCAGTCTATGTGTGCATATATTGACATACATAACTCATTTTAAGACAATTCAAGTCACAGGCCCTGATTCTCTTGCCTGTAACTCTAGGCAAGTGACTTCACCTCTCCTGGCCTCTGTTTCTTGCCTGTAAAATGATAGTTCCTGCCTCATAAAAGCGTGGTGAGAATTAGTTAATATAAGTACTCATGAAGAATTAGCCCTTGTTGTTGTTGTGTGAAAAACATCCATGTGCACCTGTAGTGAAGGTGTGCATGCTGTGTATGTGTGATCTGTGTTGGTAACCATGTGATGGTGTGTGTTTATGTGTGCGTGTGAAGCTGTTGCCCCACGTGACTGTGTTGCTGCTCCTGGATGAATGTCTGAATGCCTGAGTGTAACCCTGGGAATATATGCCAGTGGCTGTGTATGGGCCACCTTTGTCAGGGTGTGACAGTCTTTGAGCAGCCAGGCTAGGTATTTGTGTGTCTCTTTTATATTGTGAGATGAGGGGCTTACATGGGACAGGGGAGTGAGGGGTCACTCCCTGTCTGATGTGCTGGGGCCGAGTCACTGCCTGCTGGTGGTTTCTGTGTCATTTCCTAGTCCCTGTGCCTACTTCTAGACTGGTGGCAGACAGAGGGGGCGTGGAGGAATGAGGCAGAGAGCAAGCTTAAGGCTGGGCTTTTGTCTGGAAACCTCCACCTCCCCATATTACTCCCCATGTCCCTCCAGTCTTCCACATCTCCCTACCCTGTCCCCACTATTTGAGCAGAGAATCAAAACTCTCCTGGAAATCAGGAACTACCCACTGCTGCTCTGCCTCAGACCTGCTGTGTGACCCTCTCCTTCTCTGGGCCTGTGGGATTCAAACTTTAAAGTGCTTCTCCTTCTGTGCCCAGGCCTGGGCCAGGCTCTGCACTTGGAGGGAAGTGCCAGGATCTCTGAGATTTGTGAAGCAACTGGTGGGACCCTTTCCAGTGGGTGCTTTAGAGTTGGGCCTGTGGCTTCCAGAATACTCAAATTAGACTCTTGAACCCCATTTCCTAACTGGGCAGCCTCAGGTAAGCAGCTTTACCCCACTGAGCCTGGGTTACCACAGTATGACTGAGCAGACAGGGGTGGGTTTGTAAAGCGTGTAAGCTCCAGAGGACTAGTAGCTGCTATTAGCACCACTGTCACTTAAACAATCAAAACACTCACGTTTTTTTCCGGAATTTTTACTGAATCAGGCAGCTCTCATAATTCAAGAGAATAGGAGCTCTAGAGTTTGACAATTTGGGTTTGAATGTCTTGAGATGGGATCTTAGGCAAGTTACTTAGCCCCTTCAAGTATCATTTTTTTATTTTAGAAAATGAAGATTTTCCTCCTTTAACCCTCAAAAGTTGTTTTAAGGATTATAAATTTTGTATTGAAAGGCTCAGTACAGGAGCTGACACTTGGTAATTGTTAAATGCATGGCATCAGTAATAATTATTATGTTATTCCTCCCCCCTCACACACACACACACACATTCTTTCTATCTGTGGATTATAAAGCGAGAAGAAGAGGTTACCAACAACATCAGCAGGAACTTTTCACCCTAAGTTTCATTCCCCATCCCCTCCAAACTCGCATACCTCCCAAACGCTGAACCTGGGGGGCCAGTAAGGTCCAAGGTACACATCCTTTGTTCAGCTGAAAAAACTGAAGCTGAAGCTCAGAGAGGGAAAACGTTTCCCAAGCTCGCACAGCAATTCAGTGCAGAAGCTACGCTGAGCCACAGGACTCCACCCCAACCTCCACTTTCACCTGGAGTATCCCAGCCCCTCCCACTCGGCTTGGGACTCAGTTTCCCCACCTAGGTGACTACAACACAGTAGCCAGGGTCTCCTTTTGAAGATCTAACCTTCCTGTCGAGTCAAGGTGCTGCACCACTGGGAGAATCAACATGGGCTGCCAAAGGAAAGGGGAACCGCTAGCTGGGGTCTCCCCAACCTGGGGGCTTCCCTGGGCTACTTTAAGAGCCTATTAATACCTGCCCCCGGGGCGGCGCGGCACTGCGCAAGCGCAGGCGGATTCCGCAAGCGCGCGAGGTGAGCGCGCGAGCGAGCGAGGGATTCCCTCTGACGTAATTGCTAGGTTACCAAACAAACACTCTGCCTCGCCGGCCGAGCTCCTTATATGGCTAATTGCGTCACAGGAACTTCGGGGAGGCGGGGCCGGGATCCCCTCCGGCCGAGGGCTCCGGAACGCAGCCCCCGAGACCCTTGGGACTGCAGAGATGATACAGGTGGCCAGATCCAGGCTAGGGCACACCTCTTGCCGGGCGGCACGAAGCTTGGTTCAATAGGGCCAGAGATCTGGGGAAGTTTGTGGAGCCCGAGACTTGTGACGTAAGCAGGGGGCGGGTCCGGGCATATAAATACAGGCTGGCGGTGCTGGGCTTCATTCATAAGACTGAGAGCTACCGCCACCACAGAGACACGCGGAGCTGGGACTTGGGGACTTTATTGTTGTGGTTCTTGGAGACTGTGAAATTCGGTTTATTATTTTTTTCCGGAGAGAAACTTTTAGGAAGGATTCTTCTAGATAATTCTACATTTTACTTTGAAGGACCGACTTACTTTTTTCGCCTTCTTTATTACTTCCCTCCCCCGCGTGGGACCCGCCGGACGCGTGGAGGAGACCGCACCCGAAGCCGATTCTGTACAGCAAGACAGTGCTTTCCGCCTTTAGGGGAGCAATCCCCCCACGCCCCTGGGTCCTTCGGAGCCTGGACTTTCAGGAGGCACAGCGGCATCTTGTGGGGGTCTGGGCACCGCAGAGGAACTGCACAGAAACTTTGCCATTGTTGGAGTGGGACGCTGCCCCGACCCCGAGTTTCCCCGGAAAGCGCACTTTGGGGACGCGCTCGGCTCACACCGGACTCACACATTTCTTCTCCCAACCGGCCATAGCCTTGGCTTCCCGGCGACCTCAGCGTGGTCACAGGGGCCACCCTGTGCCCAGGGAAATGTTTCAGGCTTTCCCCGGAGACTACGACTCCGGCTCCCGGTGCAGCTCCTCACCCTCTGCCGAGTCTCAGTATCTGTCTTCGGTGGACTCCTTCGGGAGTCCACCCGCTGCCGCCGCCTCCCAGGTAAGTTTTAATGGGTCGGGATACTGCTTTGTGGGGTTTAATTTTTTAAGTCAAGAGTGGAACGAGCAATCTCCCTACCCCTAATAAAGACACGTCAAAACCCAGGATCTGCGAGGAAATAGGTTCACAGCGCACTTTGCAAACTGCAGAGTCGGGATTTGTTTGCAATTGATCGTATGCGTTAAGTGCAGGAAGGGAACGCAGAGGGGTAAGCTTTGGGGTGGAGAGAATGTGCAGTTCAGTGCAACGTGTATGCGGTAGCAGGGCTGAGAACTTTTAGCTGGCTCCGGGACTGTCACCGACCTAGGTGCCCAGCCTGAAGCTAGCGCTATTAGACAGGAGGGGGAAATCCTGGGGAAGCTTCCAGTAGCCTCCTCCCTTTACCTCCTCCACTGGTGCGCCCACTCCGCGCCCGGTCGCCCTCTAGCCTGCGGGAAAGCGGGTCTCGAACCCTCGGCTGCGCTGCCTCCGCCTCCTGCGCGGAGACCTAACGGGGGACCCGTGCGTAACGGCTGACGCGCTGGACTCCTCCGTCTGACGCGGGGCACGCACGGCGCGCGGCGCCCCCCTCGTCCGCCCCGCCCCTGACGTCCCGGGAGCGTTCTATTTTGGAACGCCGGGGCCACGTTGCTAAGGGAGGGGGCAGTCCGCCGTTCCGATTGGCCACCGCGGTGCGGGCTTTGGCCAATCAACTTTTCCTTCCTATTTGTAGGGTGCAGTTCCCTTCCTCCCCTCTATCCCCGGAACCCGTGGTTCCTCGGCGCTAGGGTCCTTTTGCGGGCCTCTAGAGGCAGAGCGAGGGGATCCTGTCGCGACAGGAGATACCTTCTGCGACGCAATGGGTCCGCGAGGACCTGTCGGGGATCCCATCCCTCTGCTAAAGGGGACAGAGGATGTCTGTTTTGTGGATCGGGGTTTCTTCGGAAGATATGGTGACCGTCATCTTCTCCAGGCACACAGGCACACTCCCACATCCCTGCGCTACGGACGCCCGGTTCCTCCCGGATGTCCTAGGACAGGACTAGAACCGTTAAGTCTAGGAGGAGCAGCCAGGTGGTCTCCAAGAGCCCCGCCTCCTCTGGATTTCCAGGGCGTTGATTGGCTAGCAAGCCAGCCCATCCCTCACCACGCCCCCTGGGAGAGTAGTTAAGCGTTCTGAGCAGTTCTAGGATTCCATTTAGGGGTGGGGGGAGATGGGCGTTGCTTGGGCTCGGGGGCTCAGGACCTACACCATTCCTCCTCCGCTACAGTCTGAGGGAGCCCGGGTCGCCACTTTTCTCTACCTGTCGGTCCACCGTAACCTGTCACTGTCAGCCTCACTCTGGAGAGAGACAATTACTTGAAACGTTGTTCTAAACTCCTAGGCCCGTCCCCCAACACCCTTTTAACTGGGACCCCCGCCCCTGCATGGGAGTCTCATGGACTTACAATCGCTCATCCCCTCGCTCAGAGGGATGTGTGTATGTGTGTGAGTGTAGAGAAAGGCATGGCCTAAGGCCTCTCCCTCTCCCTCCCCTTGCCTCTGGGGTGGGGGTGGGGTGTTCTGGCTGTGTGTGTGGCTGTGACTCCGTCCCGGGGGTTCTGTCACTCGGCTGTGTCCAGCCTCCTCCCCACCCCCCACACCTAAGAGTCACCAACCCGGGGTGTGATTCACCACCCGCTGGAACCATGCAACCTTTCCCCGAGGAAGAAGGAGGAGGTAGAAGCCAGTTGAGCAGAGATCCTCTCATTAACCACTGCGTCACGGTGTAGTGGAAGGGTGGGTGTTGTGGCTTTTTGCCTGTGACACACACATCCACACCCGCTCACCCTGTGCTCACTCACGGGGTCGGTGTGTGTATGTGTGCTGGGTGTGTGTGTGTCGGTGTCTCTGTTTGTGTGTCTACGCCTGTGTGTGTATGTGTCACCCCGTAGGAGTGCGCCGGTCTTGGGGAAATGCCCGGTTCCTTCGTGCCCACGGTCACCGCGATCACAACCAGCCAGGACCTCCAGTGGCTCGTGCAACCCACCCTCATCTCTTCCATGGCCCAGTCCCAGGGGCAGCCACTGGCCTCCCAGCCCCCGGCCATCGACCCCTATGACATGCCTGGAACCAGTTACTCCACGCCGGGCATAAGTGGCTATAGCAGTGGTGGAGCAAGTGGCAGTGGCGGGCCTTCCACCAGCGGAACCACCAGTGGACCTGGGCCTGCCCGCCCGGCCCGAGCCCGGCCTAGGAGACCCAGAGAGGAGACGGTGAGTAAGGGGCATGAGAACTTGGTCCGGGGGAGGAAGCAAGGGGGGCAGAAACTTTCTCACTATTGGGGTGAGGGACCACTAAGGCTTCAGTGATTCAGAAACCCTGTCATCCTTGCTGCAGTCAGCGAGGAGTCTGGCTTCTTGGGGTTCTGGAAGAAGAGGAGGTTCAGGATGGGTGGAGGAGGTGCACTGTGTCCCCAAACCTCATGGCCTCTATCTCCCCTACTCAGCTTACCCCAGAGGAGGAGGAGAAGCGAAGGGTTCGCCGGGAACGAAACAAACTGGCAGCAGCTAAGTGTAGGAACCGTCGGAGGGAGCTGACTGACCGACTCCAGGCGGTGAGGATGGCCCCTGGGATGGGGTGAGGGTATGCAGAAGGGGGGCTGTCTCCCCATCCCGTGTCACCTCCCACCTGCGCCCTTAGCCTGGGCTGAGAACCAGAGGTTCCACATATGGAACTAGGTACAGGTGTAGCCAGAGGGGGTCACCCTGAGCACACACATAGACCCTCACATATTTATGTGGACTTCCGGATACTCCCTGCCCCGGTTTATGACCCCCATCCTCACACACACCACTCTCCTGGCCCTTAGCTCCTCCTGAGGAGACATATGAGGGGCCTTTAATAGAAGGGAGCTGCAGGCATTTCTCCCTTTTGGTCTTGGGCAAACAATTACCCATTTTGCCTCAGTTTCTGCATCTCGTCCATCACTTATCAAATCTCTCAGGTTCCTTCTAGCTTTAACATTCTGGAGAGTCTATGAAATGAAATCCTCTTATCCTGTGCCAATTCCCCACCATTTTTCCCAACTACCCATAGTTTTTTCAAACCATGGGCTGATGGTGTCTGCCAAGGCCTCCTCCCCTTTTACACCCTCCCTCAGTCTGAGAGTTTCCTACTTTAGACGGAGGGGGGGGGGGGCGGCCCGGGTGACCTGCTGCCCCTAGAGGAACCTTGGCAAATTTTGTACTTCCTTGCACTATCTAGTCTCTTCCCTCGGAGGCAGAGTGGGGCAGGTAACAGAGATGGCATTAAAAACATATAACAGTCGTTAATTTATTCAACAAACCTCTGAGTGCCTCCTGCCATCAGAGACTTCCATGTATGCCTGGCTGCCTCCCAAACATCCACTGGACAGATGGGGAAACTGAGGCCTCTAGAAGGCAAGACCCTGGCCCCAAGTCCAGTCGCACCCCAGGACTCCATCTCAGGGGGCGTTTCCTATCAGTCAGAGCTCCTTTCAGCCCTGGGCCTCTGCAACAAGTCTAGGGGAAATGGCTTCCTCCAAGATCCACCTTCTCTAGTCGCTCACAGTCTTTTTCTCCTTCCTTCCTCTTCTCCATGACCTGGCTACTGGGGCTCAGGAGACAGATCAGCTGGAGGAAGAAAAGGCAGAGCTGGAGTCGGAGATCGCCGAGCTCCAAAAGGAGAAGGAGCGTCTGGAGTTTGTGCTGGTGGCTCACAAACCCGGCTGCAAGATCCCCTACGAAGAGGGGCCCGGGCCCGGCCCGCTGGCGGAGGTGAGAGATTTGCCGGGGTCAGCATCCACTAAGGAAGATGGTTTCAGCTGGCTGCTGCCGCCCCCGCCACCACCGCCCCTGCCCTTCCAGACCAGCCAAGACGCAGCCCCCAACCTGACAGCTTCTCTCTTTACACACAGTGAAGTTCAAGTCCTCGGCGACCCCTTCCCTGTTGTTAACCCTTCGTACACTTCTTCGTTTGTCCTCACCTGCCCGGAGGTCTCAGCGTTCGCCGGCGCCCATCGCACCAGCGGCAGCGACCAGCCTTCCGACCCCCTGAACTCGCCCTCCCTTCTTGCTCTGTGAACTCTTTAGACATAAAACAAACAAACACACAGGGGAGAGAGATTTGGAAGAGGAAGAGGAATAGGGAGAGGGGACAAAACTAAGCGGGTGTGTGGCCTCCCTGCTTCTCCTATCTGACTCTGCCGCCACTGTCATCCGACAAGAGGACCTCCTTGTGCTTTGTGCCACCTATTGTTTCTGTGGCCCGTGGAGGCCAGAACGCTGGTGACTTTGGGGGGAGGGGGTGAGGAGGGGATAGACACCCCTTGGCTGCCTGTTGGTCCTCTCACTTCAACCCAAACTCTGGGGATGGGTGGGTGGGGGGTGATGCCCACCTGTGGGCTTGAGGGAAAGGGATGCTGACGGTGGACTGTGGGGTGGGCTGGAGTCCTCTCTAGAGAAGCCCAACAAGGAAGTGCCACAGAGCCCCCCACGATGTCTCCCACACCCACCCTTCAGGGGGGTGACTAGGCTGGTTTTCCCTGCTCCCCCGACGTGAGCTTATTTATCCTACATTTCCATGTGGTTAGACCCTCCTCTGAATTGAGCCCCCCTTTAAAGGGAAGTTGATGTCCCCTTATGATAATCCCTTTCCCCCGATCCAGACTTAGTCTGAAATGTGAACCTCCCTCCCTGACCGTCCAGTCACTCTCTCCCCGCAAAACCAGCTTTGGTTGAAATTTTGACTTCCTAAGGATCCGCCCACATTCAGCCCCAGCCCTCCTGTATGATTACAGTATTATTCCAAGCCAACCCTCCTCCCCTTCTGGCCTTCCTTGTTGGGCCTCTCTGATTCAGGCAGCAGGGGGCGCTGTGATGCCTATCCTGCTGGAGTGTTTATACTGTGAAATGAGTTGGCCGATTATGGGGGGGAGCCGGGTGGGACAGAACTCTTCCAGAGGGATTGTGCCCCCACTCCCCAAAGCCTTTCCGTGGTTTCCCCTCCCCGCATCTGCTTCCTTTCTCCCCTCAACAGTGAGTTAGACTCAGGGGGGTAACAGAATCGAGAGGGCTGTGACAGTTATCCATCCGTGAGGCCTCTCTCTTCAGGACCCCCAGCCTCTAGCCCCAGCCTTTTTCTTTAAGGCCTGTCACCCGACCCCGGCCTAGGACGCCAACTTCTCCCTCCTCTTGGCATCCCCACATCCTTTCTAGAAAGGGAGTAAGGGGAGAGTGCCAAGGGGCCCGACATTTTTCCGGAGATTTAAAGGCTGAGGCTTTGGCCCCCGACCCCCAATGTTTTTGGACTGGCAAACTCGAGGGGGCTGGGCTTCTGTGATCCCAGCTTCCACTCCCCATCCCCCCAGCTCAGAATCTTGGTTTTGGCTTCCCCACCCCGCGTTTCCTTGTGCTTCACTTCATGATAATTTCATTGTGAGGCAAATTGATATTTTTTAATATTGGGTGTCCAAGTCGCCCTTGTGCTGCATGGAGAACATTCCACATGCCCTGTCCCGTGCCTTCCCACCCTGAACCCAGACCCCTCCCGTTGCTATTTATCCCTTTCCTGGTTCCTGAAAGGCACTTATATCTATTATGTATAAATAAATATATTATATATGGGTGTGTGTGTGTGTGTGTGTGTGCGCGCGCGTGAGTGTGTGAGCGCTTCTGCAACCTCGGCCTAGGTCACATTGGCCCCCAAAGCCATGCCATTGAATTGGAAACACTGCTTCTGGAAACTCTGAGGCAGCCTGTCTCTCTCCCGCTGTCTCTATCGGCCTGTCTCTAGTTGTCTCTTTTCTGATTGTCTCGGCGCTCTGTTGTTTCTAGTCTCTGGCTGTCTCTTTGCCGAGAGCGTCTTGCCCCGCCGTCTTTTCTCTGCCTATTTTTCTCTGACCATTTCCATCTGTTTCCTTTATGACTGTTCTTGATCCTCCAGCAGCCTTCCGACTCTGGGTTCTTTGGGGACATGAGATTTTATTTTTGTGAGTAAGCCTGACAGATCATAGATTTTTACAATCTGTATCTTTGAGAATTCTGGGTGCGAGTGTGAGACTGTGAGCAGGGCCTGCCCCTGCCGACCACAATTTATTGACTCCCCAATCCCCCACCCCATTCTGTATTTGTGATTCTCTTTTTGTATTTTGCACCTGACCCCGGGGGGTCGGTCTGGGGCTGGCTGGCACTGGGCCGCTACCCTCCCCCCATGGTTCTACACTGTCGCCAATAAAAAGCTCTTAAAAATGCATCCACCAAGCCTCAGGATATATTTTCTTCTGACTCCCATCACCTGCCTTCCTTTCAGCATGAGAGTGAGGTAAGATTGCTGCGGAGGGGGACTACAAACACGTGCTGGAACTCGTACTGGTGGATCAGCCTACATACAGCAGGATGGAGGAAGGCTAGACAGTCAGGAGGAATTCCTACACACACAAGTTGTGCCTCCTCAGAGAAAAAATAAGGAGGCAGAATATTATCTGTGAAGTGTGTGTGTGGTGCTGAAATGCTAAAGGGCCATGGAAGCTCCTGGTGAGGGAGGAACTTATGCTAGATTATGTATGCTCTGAACAAAAGGTATAAGGAAAAGTAGAGAACTTTAAAAAATGCATTCCAATTTATTAAAGATCAACTAAGTAGGCTTTTGTGACTCTTCAGAATTATATGAGCCACAAAAATATGAATCCTCTGACAGTAAAGATGAGTTTCCTTTTGCTTTTCATAGGACTACTTCTGGGTTATGAACATATTGGGGCCATCCAAAGATCAACTAAACCAAAAATATTGTCTCATTGTGAGTCAAAAGATACAGCTGAGCCACCCCCATTATAAAATCCAAGCCCTCTTTTATTTGCATAGCAGCAAGCAATCTGGGAATTGAAATGATGGTCTAGAGGTCATTTAAATGCCTTAGGACCATAAATGAACTAGCAGAGGAAGTTGTCATGATTCATCTATTAATTAATTTAAAATTTTCGCTAAGTACCTACTGTGTGCCCAGCCCTGTGCTGGACACTGTTGGGGACACTACAGGAACTGAGACAGCCCCAGGCTATCCCCTTCTAGGGTTCACACTCCAATGGGGGCCACAGACCTGGCCCCAGTCCGGGGCGATCCAAAGTGGGCAGCATTAGGGGAGTCCATGACGCTGGAGGAGCCCAGTGGGAGCATCTAACCTGATCTGGAGTCAGGAAAGACTTCTTGAAGGAGGGGACAGTTAAGCTGAGTTCTAGAGGATAAATAGGACATATAGAAGGGAATAGAAAAAGACTGAGGTTGATCAAATAGTGAGTTCAAAGAGCTGTTTGTGGAGAGGGGCCTTGAAATATTGAGAAAGCTAGAGGTTCATGGTGGCTGGGACAAAAAGTGCAGAGAAAGAGGTTAGCAGGGACCAGATTCTGCAGGCTTCAATTCCAGAGGAAAAGTTTAGATCTTCTCTTGAGGGCACTGGGGAGCCATGGCAGGTTTAGGGCACAGAAGGGCAGAGACAGGTTTGTGCTTTAGCAAGATGCCTTTCGGTTGAGGGTAACTGGAAGACAAAGGGGCAAGAGACCAGGGAGGAGGCTAGGGTGGGGACACTGGGATGTGAGGGGGGCCTGGAACAGTGCCAGAGCTGTGGGAGACAGAGAGGAGAGGAAGTATTCAAAAGTCAGTTAGGAGGCAGAACAGACAAGACTGGTGAGTAGCTAGCTTGGGAAAGTCAGCACAGGGCAGTGGTAAATAGCATGGACCAGAGGTCTGAGAGCCTGAGGCTGGAGGTCCTAGCAAAGCTGGGTGACCTTGGACAAGGGACTTCGTCTCTTTGAACCTGTTTCCTTAACTGCAGAATAGGGCTGTTGTGAGGAGTCAGTCAGCTCATGTATACCAGCACTGAGCACAGAGTGAAGGTGCAATTATTGCCATTATTGGAGTCACGCTGATCCCTGGCCGGGAATATTCCCTACGCCAACCCCCTCACCGCACCCCCCCACCCCTCCACCTCCGCTGCTGGCTAATCCTTTCTCATCCTTCAAGTAGCTGCTCAAATGTTACGCTTACACCCTACCTGAACTCGGGTCTCCTTAAGGATTAAGTGGCCTCATATGATCTGTACTTTCCTTTCCAGTAGTCATCACCTTTCTAGTTAACTGTGTAATTAATGATAGTCTGCTCCACTGGACTGGGAATACCACGAGGCCAGGGCCGGGATTGCTAGTCACCATTGTGTCCCCAGCACCGCTCAGTGCAGAGCCGGGCACAGAGCAAATACTTGTTGAATGAGTGAATGAATTAATGAACAAATGAATACATATTGAACTGGTTAATAAAGTACATGCGTAATTAAATACATGAGTGAGCAAATGGCTGAATGAGTAAGGAGAAATTCAGCATAATTGTCAAACCGGATATCCTAAAACTGAGTGTGGATGAGTTTTTCTTCATCTTTTTACATTATGTTTGATATTCGCGGGATAGATGTAGCTGCAAGAAGAGACCTGCGCAGCGAGGGATAAACTGCGATGCAGAGGACTGTAGCGACCTCTTCTGGGGCTGGCGTCAACGTACACGCTAATGTCCAGTCTCGAGTTGAAAAATACATCTAGAAGAACCGCCCGAAAGGTGGAATTGAACCACTCTGTCGCTAGACAGCTACAGGTTTGAAGCCTGCACCCCAGACCACTGAGGATCATCCGGGCAAGATTTTCCGGGTCCCGAACAGCTATATAAATCCCAATAATTTACATCTATTTAAGTTATGGTATTATAGTTTGATAGGGTGTCAGATTGTTCACTTCGATATCTACATTTTTTCCAGTAATTCATTATGACCTATAGCTCTCCAAAATGTTATCTTTGTCTCGCATGGCACGAATCATCTTCGCTTTGGAAATCGTCTTATTTGCATAGCGCCGCGCATTCTGGGAAACGGCTCCTGAGAACCTGGTTCATTCGCCTGTAGCTGTTAAAGGGCCAGAAACCCATTTTTCCAAGTGAGAAAACAGTTTTTTTAAGAATAGAGATTCATAATTTGGCCTTCGGTAGCCCCTTCTCTGAAAAATTCTAATTTGAGTGAGTGGGTTCCTGCTAGAGACTGGTTTAGCCAATTCCCGGATGCTTCGGCAGGCGACCGTAGAGCTGGTGCGACACCTGCTGTTCTTTTGTGGAACTTCAGCGACCCACGGAGCCCTATGTTCAAATATTTATTGAGCGCCTACTGAGTCCCAGGCACTGTCCTAGATGCTGGGGATAGCAGAAATTCTGTCCTCATTCACCTGAGACACAAGAGCTCATCCATTTCTGCACCTGAATTTTCTGGCCGGGGAAACAGGCTTAGAAAAGGATACTACTGTTTTCCACTTCACACAGCCCCCCACCTGGGGGAATTGAACCTGTACCATAATAATTATTACCAAAAAAAAGTGATCCTTTAATAACCTAAGTTAGTGATCCTTTGACAACAATATCATTTCCTGACATGAAACCTTCCCATGGCTCCCATCTCAGAGTAAGAGTCAAAGTTCTCACCACGGCCTAACGATCCCTATCATCTAGACCCTTTCACTCCTCTGACCCCATCTCCTACTCCCCTCACCTCATATTCTTGACTTGCAGCATAAAAATCTTCTGCCACAGACACTAGGCATACTCCCTTCGCAGGGCCCTTGCGTATGCTGATCCCTCTTGCCTGAGTCTCCTTTCCTTCACATGTTCACATGGCTCACTGCCTCCCTTCACTCTGGCCTCTGCTCAAATATCACCACTTAGTAAGGACTTCCCTGACCACCCAGTTTAAAATAGCAAGTCCTGTCACTCTATCTCCTTACCCTTCTGGCCTTTTCTCCATCACCATGATCACCACTGGCCCTATTCTATGTCTATTTGTTTACTGTCTGCCTGCTACCGCGAGAATATTAGTTCCATGAAACTATGGACCTTTGTTTTGGTTCATTTCTGTGTACCTAGTGCCTAAAACCGTGCTTGAGCATGTAGCAGATGCTCGCTAAATGTTTGTGGGATGAATGCAAGAATGTTATTACTATCATTTTCTGAGCCCCAGTTTCCCCATCTGGAAAGTACAACTGATTTCGCTGGAGGAATGGTAATGAACAGATAGGTATACAAGTCTGGCATGAGGCCAGGCCACTGGAGGGCACTCGATAAAAGTTATATCAATCTCTAACCTGTTTCCTGACGGTAGGGGCCAAGGATGGGCTAAAGCCATTCCTGGACCCATAATTCCAACCAGTCCCTCTTCCTTTGTTCTTTGATATGGACAGATGGACACTTTGTCTTATGTAAAGTGTAAACAAAAACATCTTTAAGAAATTTTGCTTTTTTTTTTCAATTTGGAAATTTAAAATATTGTCTCTGCTTGGCAAATCCAGATTCAAGAGAAGCCCCTGAGCCCTGTTTCCTTTAGTTAGATAGCTACTTCTAGGCAAGCCTTGTATACAAATTATGGGGCTGTAACTACTACTCTTATAACCTCATTCTCTATCTCCTAAAATGTGACGTGCGATGAGAGGCAAGTGAGATGATTCTAGGTGACGCACAAACATTTAAAATTAACAGTTTTGTGTTTATTTTTACTGTTATCTTCTATTTCTGGCAAGCAATACCAACTTCCTTCATGGTGAAGTAACATTTCCTTTAAAAAAACATTTGTTTTACTTATTTAGTAAACCGATTTAAAACAAAATATTAGGTAAATAGCAGAACAGGTGATACAATGATCACAAAGCTCATGAGGGAATGACTGAGATTTGGGAAAGCATGTCACAGATAACAATACCAGCTTCTGTTTACTGGACATTTATTATATGCCAAGCCCTGTGCCAAAAGCTTTACATGTAGGTATGGTTACGGCGACACTTTTCTGTTTGAGGAAACAGGCTTCAAGAGGTCACTTGAAGCCTGAAGACTTGAAGTCACTTGCTCAAGGTCACACAGCCAAGATGTAGTGAAGCTGGGATTCAAATCCACGTTTGTGGGTGTTTAGACCTTATGGCCTCTCTGGGCCTCAAGTTCCTCCCTCAGTTTACAGTTTAGGAACCTGAGACCCAGAGAGGCCATGATGGTCCCAAGGCAATTGGAGAGAAGTGGGTGGATGACAGACGTTTGGGAGATACAATAGACATGGCTTCGTTATTGATTAGATATGGGGGGTGAGGGAATAGAAGTCCAGAGCCAGACCTGGGTCTCAGGCCTGGTGAAAATGTGGGCAGAGTGGACATCCCTGAGTTGGAAATCAGGTAAGACAAGTAAGAAGTTTGGGTATGTCTGTGGGGGCAGTCGTTCAGAAGGCAGTTGGTCCTGGACACAAGAGTCTAGGACCCAGGTGAGATGGCTGCGTAGCAAGCAGTATAGGGATAGACTAGTGATGTCTGCCTTGAGCACAATATTGAAGGGGGCTACCAAGTCTTGGGTAGCTCTGGGATGGGCAATCTCTCACCGTCCTCCCGTCAATCATTTCATAATCTAAACAGGTGGTTGATGGGGCTTCTGCAGAGATGTGTCGCGTCCCGCACGACATGAGCAGTGGGAGAACAAGAGGGGGAGGCGAAGGGTTAAGAAATAAAAGAAACAGCAGTCAAGAGTTAAATTAGCGTGGGGCCAAGGGTCTCCAGCCTTGTGGACTAAGAGCCCCGAATCGGCCGGGCCGACACACCGCTTTTATTTCTCCACCTACCTGGAAGTAGCATTGTTCTCTCCAGTCTGTGAGTCTCATTCCTGAGAACTTGCTCAAGCCAGATTACCCATGCCTGCAAGCTGCTTCACATACCCTATATGCAAACGACCCCAGGAAGATAAGATTATTGCTGAGGACAGATACTATCTCACCTTTAGGTCACTTCCCAAGCAAGTTGAGGGAAGGAATATAGCTACAGAGGTAGACCTCCAGTCTCTTTGGGGGGCGGGTGAGGGCCCATGCCCACCTCCATCAGCCCCGAGATTTCTCCTGATGGCCTCCATGCGACCGTGTCTGGCTTAGGTTGCTCCTCCCACAAGGAAT